AAGTGTTGAATTCATGCCTCTAAGCTTCCTAGGAGCTGAGGGATTCTTAGAATAAAATTCTTGAACAGCATCGCGGGAATTATCCAGATGGGCTTCTGGTTTCCACATTCTGTCCTCATCTCCATAGCTCTTCCATAGGACTAGAAACTCTAATTTTCCATGCTTCAAGCGTGCATCCACCACTTGTTTGACTTTGAGCTCTTCTTCACCTTCCTGGGTGACTACAACCGGTCCAGGCCGGTCCACGCACTGTCCCGGCAGTGGCCCTTTGTAGGGTTCCACACAGCTAATGTTGACCGTGGGTACTGCCGATCTGTCAATTTTAAGTGGTCAGTATCTAACCAGACCAGGTAGCCGACCTTGTAGTCAGGGGCCTTGGAGCGTCTCTGCTCTGCCCTGTCCTTCATCTGCTCTGCAGTTTTGAATAGCGCCTTGCGCGTTTCGTCTAAGACTGACTTCATGTCTTTAGCCATGTTCTCAGCAGCCTTGTTTTTGCTTCTGCCAGGTTCTACACCCATTCTGGGAAGGTACAATCTTGTTACCTCGAATAGTGCTTTTCCTGTAGCTGACGACTGTTTGATATTGTAAGAGAACTGGGCTATCTTTAGCCACTTGGCCCAATCTGTCTGTCTGTCATTAATAAATATCCGGAGATATTGCTTCATTTCCTGATTGAGCCTCTCCGTTTGTCCATCAGTCTGCAGATGGAACACCATTGATAATTTAAAGTTGATGCCCAGCATCCAGCATAACTTTTTCGTAAATTTGCTAGCGAATTGTGGTCCCCTATCGGAGATAACCGTTTCCAGCAATCCATGGATAGACCATACAAAATCTTTAAATAGATCTGCTGTACCAGCGGCGGTAATAGTTTTGTTGGTGGGAATAAATACTACTTCTTTGGAGAAGCAATTCACTACCACCATTACTGAATCATATGCATTTGATTCAGGTAGATCCATCGTGAAATCAACCGATATATCCTGCCAAGGACCAGCTGGTATCGGATTTGGGATAAGTTTACTGGCCGGCGGTTGATATGAGTTCTTTGCCATGGCACATCTTAGACAGGATTTTACGCATTCTTGTATGTCTTTAACCATGCCAGGCCACATATAGTTTCTGGAGATCAACTCCATTGTTCATTGCCACCCAGGGTGCCCAGCCATTATCTGTCTATTGCCTTAATCCTTGCAGACTCAGGCACATAGATTTTGTCTTTGAAATAGAAGAGCCCATCTTCCCATAAATAGTTTTCATTGCCATCAAGGCGCACCTTCTCTTCTGAGGAGATGTCTTTTTTGAAAATTTCTAGAAGATTGGAATCCTGCCCGATTCTAACATTGGCAACCCTTGATTGATCTATCAGGGTGACACCTTTGTTGTCATCTTTGATGCCGTTCCCATGCACTCCTGAATGGCAAATATTTCAGTCATCAGCAATCAACACAATTGAAGAAAATAAACTTACCTTTGATGCAGTTGAGATCCGGATCACTGCAGAAGTTTCACGACAGTCAGGGAAGGCCCCTGGAGGTTCTGAATCAGCACTCAAATCCAAGGAGAAATGGTGTAACTTCCACAAAGCCAAATCACACAACACCCTGGAGTGTCGAACACTTCAGTCAGCTGAAAAAGGTCAAAGGAAGAAGGGAAAGGAAAGACACAAGGATAAAGGAAAAAAAAAAGAAAAGGCAAATACAGCGGAGCAATCATCTGGATCTGACTCCGAGGAGGAACAGAGTCATATTGCATTGGATCATGTACATATTTCCAAGCCTCTTGCTAAACACATTCAAGCTTACCTTGTGTCGGAACCCAATAAGACCAAAACAACAATCATCATTGACTCCGGAGCAACATCCCACATGGTCCCTCACCGCTCCTGGTTTGAGACAGGAACATACCATGTTCTGCATCCTCCAAGGACAATCAGTTTTGGGGATGAATCCTCTGTAAATGCCATTGGCATTGGAACAGTAATCCTACAAGCAACTGTTGGCAAAAAGGACTACAATATTGCACTGTCAAATGCCTTACTTGTGCCAAACTTCACTTTAGCACTCGTCTCTGTCCACAAATTGTCCAAAATAGGGTTATCAACACTTTTTACCAGCAGGGTCAAACACTTGTGAAGTTCGGAAAAAAGAGGAACTTATCCTCACTGCGTTACACAAGCGAGGACTTTATCATATCCAAGCAAAACCCGAAATCAACCTGGAGTCAGCTTTTGCAGCAGTAGATGTAAATTTATTGCACAGGAGAATGGGACACATTGGAATGGACCGCTTGCAATGAATGATTACAAAAGGACAGCTCCAGGACATGGACACCCTTACCGGAACCCTGGAGTTTTGTGAACCTTGTGCTTTAGGAAAGATGAAGAAATTACCTTTCAAGTCCACTGGAGGAAACCGAGCCAAGTGCCCCATACAAATTGTGCACACAGATGTTGGAGGACCAATCAAACCAACTTCCAGGGAGGGTTTTTGGTACTGGATTATCATTGTAGATGATTTCTCCAAATTTCCATGGATATATTTCCTAAAACATAAAAGTGAAGCACTGGAACAATACAAGCAATGGAACAATACAAGCAATGGAGAGAAGATGTCCAAACATTCTTCCGGACTCATTTGGGAGAAGAAAACTTCACTCCACTATACACAGAATTCCTCCGGAGCGATGGGGGAGGAGAATATACTGGCAATGCATTCAAAAATCAACTCCAAGGAGATGGTGTCATCCAAGAAACTACAGCTGCAGATACTCCGGAACAAAATGGCATTGCAGAATGTATGAATCAGACATTGGCTACATTAGCAACCACTATGCTTCATGATTCTAAGCTCCCAAAGTCATTTGGGGTAGATGCCATGCAAACAGCTGCATATATCACAGCATGCCGCCCAGCATCAGGACTCCATGGAAAGACCCCATATGAAATACTGTTTAAAAGGAGAGTTGATCCAACTTTGTTTCGCCCTTTCGGATGCCAAGCATATGCCTTGATTCTGAAAGACAAAAGGCAAGGGAAGTTTTACTCCAAGGGGCGCAAAGCCATAATGATTGGCTACACACATGGAAAGCAAGTTTACAAACTCCTAGACACTAAAAAACGAACTGTGTTTTCCTGTTGGCATGTCATATTCAATGAATCCGGAAAGGTACAAAAGGACATCACTGCTCCCTGGAACACAGACACTAGCACAGATCAGTGGGAGGGACTCATTCCAGAGAATGCTTACTATCCAGACCAAAAAACATTGGAGGAGGATGATCCTTATCCTCCACGGAGTCAGAGTACATTGGATTGAGCAATGCTGGACAACACCTTGCATGACTTCGGACATTTTTTGAAGAAATTGGACATGCTCAAAATGGACCTACAATATTGCACTGTGACAATCAAGCAGCTATCATTCTTACACGAGATCCACAGTTCCGTGCTTGCACAAAACACATTCAACGGAAATATCATTTTATCCGAGATGACTTAGTATCAAAGGGAGAGGCAGTAATCAGATATGTTCCTACAGGAGATATGGTTGCCGATATTCTCACTAAACCCCTCACTCACGAAAAACACTGGAAATTCTCTAAAGCTATGGGACTACGGTTGCACTCGAGTGGGAGTGACAAAACCGGATAAACCCGGTCTCTGCCGAAGCAGCCATTGTTCTCCATGGAGCATAGCCACCACTCCATGGAGTAACCATTGTTCTCCTAGGAGCCATTATACTGTAGCGAGTAGCACCTCTGACTATAAGTAGTAGGGGGTTTAGTATAGGAATACCTCAGTCGTTTCTATAGCCTCTTGGGCAGCGGCTGAGTTTCACTTAGTTTTATTACAACCATGGACATTTCTCTAAGTCCAATCAATTCAACAATCATAATATATATGGGTTTAGCAACAAATGTGGCATACCTAGCATGGATGTATTGGCAACCACTAACCAGATCCAGATTATGTGTTCTAACCTACATCCTTATCTTGTGTAAGATTTATTGTGACAGGGGCTTTTGTGATCATTCCAACATGCTGACGGTGGTAAAATACCCTTTTGGTTATCATCAAGCCATAACAGCATTTGTAAAAAGGTGATCAAGATGTTACACTATTGAAATTGTTACAACCAAAGTTTTTATACTCTGGCGCACAGAAAAAACAAGCAGAGAGGAGTGAGTGAGTGAGTGGATAAACTTCTTTAGGTTTTAGGACCGAGTTAGTTGTGGGTAAACAACAGGAGGACTTGCTGAGTAGTCTCCTTGATCTATTGGGGTATTTATACTACTACGGACTATTTATACATGTGCACTATGTAGTTGATGAAGGCAGTGGCTGATGATGTCATAGGGTGCAGCCCGTGTGACCAGCTCCACTGTGTGAGAGACTTGTAGCTAAGAATAAAGGAAAGCAGTGCAGCACAAGAAAATGGAGTTTGAACAAAATAGAAAGTGCCGCATGGCACAGTGTGTGAAAACTACAAAAGAAACTTGCTACAATAAACACTTCCAGCACCTATCTTAGCACTTACTTTACTTTTACTGTACTTTTATTTTATTTTTTCATTTTCCAAGTTGCATGATTGATCATGTGATACATCACCTGACCAGTGTCTAGGCTCAACATGTGGCTGGTTTTATGCTGGACATCAGACTTTTAACTTTATTTATCAACTGTATAGTACCTCATGTATTATAGTATATATACTTGACCAATACATGGGGGAAGGACTCAGCAAGTCCTCTTCTAGTGTATACCAACATTAGTATGACAAATGTTGAAAGCATCTACATGGGAGAGCAGGCATTAACACTTTTCCTCTAACTCCAGTTGTTCTGTGGCTGTGCACTTTTTGTTGATTTGTGTGAGGCAACATCAAAATATAACAAAAGCTAAACCTGTCTCCGACTTTGAATTTCTTGCAAAGTGCCATAACTAGGCATGCACTTAGTCATGAACATGGGTGAGCTATTGAAGCCCGGGACCTACCCATTCATATAAGCTTCTTCCAATTGGAATCACTCATGTGATCATCTAATATTTCTTGCCTATGTTACTTGCTCATAGCCCATGCTTCAGGAGACTTCATTGAGGGGAGCCCAAAGTGTTTCTAATATCTCACCATTAACCTGCCCAGTCCCGGGGATAAAGTTAGGCGCATATCTTGGGAAGCAGATGTCTTGATGTCCATGCACATGAAATAATTTAATGCCCTTGTACAAGGATATACCACTGGGGACCTGAAGATAGGGACTTTCAAGGACCCTTTTCAAAAAGTATCTACCATATTGGCACATTATATCGTAGAGGACTATGACTGAGTCAATCTCGGCCAATGAAGACAAGGCCTGACACAAGGAATAGTCCATGTTCATTTGGCCATGAAGAGTGAGCGATTGCCACGATCACAAATTTGTGGGCTACTCACTGTTCACCTTTCTGAATATCCACTATATGTTATAATTGACGTACCAGTACCTACTTACACTTTACCTTTTGCACTTTTACTTTTATTTTTCCAAGTCACATGACCAGTCATGTGACCATTTACTTTACTTTACATTTTTGACTTTTCATAGTCACATGACACAACACCTGACCAATGTATAGACTCATCATGTGACTGGTCACATGCTAAATATCAGACTTTAAACTCTATTTACAACTGTACAGTACCTCATGTATTTTAGTATATATACAGGAGCAATACATGGGGAAGGACTCAGCGAGTCCTTCTGTTGTCTACCAATAACTAACTTGTTGAAACCTAATGGGTAACCACTCCCACCTCTTCCTCTTCTTTTGAGTGTTGTTTTCATTGTGCTCCAAGACTGTGTCTTGTTGGTGTTGTCACACTATGGCACCTGGGCAAAATAGCATCAAGGTGCTACCAGTCCTTGTTTGCCAGGTTTACAGCTCTGTGGTTATTACAAGTAGACCCCACTTTATTTTCTTTGGCAATTTTGAGGTGCTCCATGTATGGTTGGTTTGCTGTCAAGAATGCTGTGTCATTGGCCAATGGGACATCATCATGGGGGTTCTTTGACTTCATGTGCTCTGCATTAAAGTTTCCGTCCATGAAAAAAGTCCTCAAGTGATACTGCCTGAGGGGATTCTGCTTCCAATCAAGCGAGACATTGATATCCGGCTGAGGGCAAGCTGGGCAAAACAATGCTAGAGACCCCAGGGAAGGGTGACAGCTGGGTTGGTGTGCAAATCCATCCAAATGCATATATTCCAAATGTCTCCACTGCTGGGACACCCTCATGAACTCCTGATATCTATTCTAGAGGGGGAAAATATTATTGAGGTTCCCGGGAAGTCTAAAACTGAGGGATGCACTGGGACCTTGTGAGGGAACGCAATGTTTGTCATCCACCATATCTTGGAATAGAAAGTCATTGCAGAAGTTTTACATTCTTTGTTATTGATTAAAAAGTCATCAAGAAAAGAAAAGGTGAATACTGTATGAGGCTTCTTCTGACTTGCTGGGTACAACCTATTGGACAAGGGCTGAACATCTGAGCAAGAAGCATTGAGACAGTTATACCATCTTATGGGCAAATGATGCATGCTGGATCTGTCTACCAGAAGCATAATTGTGTTGACATTGATGTTGGTGCCAGTCCTTTGGGGCATGTCACCCATTGTGATTACTTCTTCATCTTCCCATAATTTTCCTTCCTCATTGTCTGATGGGGCACCTGGAAAATTGTCCTGGGTACCGTCCCCCTAAGAATCACACTCCTGTGAGTTGTCCTCTGCTAGACTGTGGTTGTCATGACATCCCAAGTATGTTTTCCCAGTGTGGTCCAGATGAATTACCAAGCTGGCTTCATAAAGCCAAGAAGATTCAAAATGTGTGCCCACCCATTGCTCAACTCTATGAAATGGTAATCTCTGGTGAGCATTGCTGCAGCATGACATGCAATACTCTGGTATTCTCAAATATTCTGTACACTGCCAAGTTCCTTCTCTTACTAAACATAGGCTGCAAGTCTGTCCTAGGGACCACCCCTCTTCTCATATGAGGACTTGCAGATACTCTGAATGATGATCCAGCCATTGTCTCATGTAATTATTTTTTGACTAAACCAATGTCAGACAAATAATAATGAATGTACTTACTCAATGAACTTGCCTTCTTTGGAGGTATAACCAATGGCTCAAGGACAGGTTGATTAATGTCTTGGATGGGGAACATATTATGTTTATGAGGAGTTTGACAGGGTGTTGACAAAATTGATTGGGATATGTGGTCTTTCACACTTATTTGTTTTGTTTGCACACCTCTGCTTATTTTGAACTTCATCCAATCTACTCTTTGTAACATTGGAGCCACATATTGGGAGAAGCTGCTGCCCATGCTAAATAATTCTGCAGAGAAAAAATGATGTTTGAAGATGCTCATATAGGATATTTATGATAGAAGGCAGTAGTCAATATGGAGCAGGGGTTGAACCTGGAACCTTCTGGATACATGCCAGCTGCGCTACCAATTGAGCTATATGGCCAAGGTTATACAATACAGGATCTTAAACATGACATGCAACCACGGATGTCTTACACAGTATAGCTGCTGCATACTGGGTTGGCTTACAAATCAGAAGTATTATCCTATGGAGTATTGATATGTCAGAGTATATTCTAACACATGCTTCTAATTTATATTAGTTTCTATGATACCCAGGCCTCTCAGGGCTAATTTACTTGATGAACCTGGCATTAAACTTCCTTATAAGAAGCAATATATCAGGGAAGGCATAGGCTGGGAGGTACCTGACACGTTCCAGGCCTTAGCTGAAGACCCGGTATGGAGTTAAGACAATGATATCATTGCTCAGATCTGACAGAAGAGCCAAATCTTTGCTTGGAATGAATGAATGTGGTATTTAATTGACTGAAAATTTACACTCAAATGGAAAAGAGAAAGATAGTGCTCATCTTCAAACACGCACCTCACTTTTTGACTTGTACCACATTTAATCATGCCTAAAGTACTTTGTAATGACGCCCAGATTGAAATACTCAATCCACATTTGGAAGAGTTTTGGGGTGCAAATTCTCTACAACAGGGATGTGTACCTGATAAGACCTGGAATGAAATCTGGGAATATTTGGGGGAACATGTACTCACTAACATCAAGAAATTAACAGACATGCTTATAATTAATATTGCAGCGAGTCAGGTATTGATTATACAACTACAGTGGTAACAAAGTATTACAACCAAAGTTTGAATACTCTGGCGCACACAGTGACAAGCAAGTAGGAAAATGGAGGAGTGAGTAAACCCCTTATGATAGGACCAAGTTATTTATGGGTATACAACAGCAGGACTTGCTGAGGAGTCTCCTGGATCTATTGGGGTATTTATACTACTACAGGTTATTTGTACATGTTGTACTATACAATTTGATAAATTAGTGGCTGATGATGTCATAGTCTCCCTTGCTTACCTAATTCAATATATGATGAGTCAATATCTTGTAAATAAGGTCTGCACCAAAGTAAGACCATTTGGCGTGAACCCCTCTTTGGTGCCAATAACACAGTTATTGAGCTCTTTTGCACCTTGATTTTAAGCTCAATTGCCCCAATTGAATATGGCTGAGCATCACAGTAAAGGCTATCTATTGCTTTAACCAGCATAACTCACCACTTAGCCTTTGTGTGAATTGGTAGAGTTGATAGTGAAGCTTTCAGATGATGAACAACACTAGTTTCAAGATTTTCTTCCATCCCAAACAGATGCTGAGTCATTGAGATAATAAAACCGTCAGCCACTCCAATTAAAACGCCACTACAAATTGCAGACACACCTGAACCAAAACATGGGCAAGAAGAAATGGGATATTCAAAGTCATATAGGTCCAAGGTGCTATATAAATTATTGTAGCTGTGATACAATAGTAGTGATCATGTACATTTGTTCTCTACAGTAGCTGTTTCAGCTGAAACATTTATGTGCTTTTTCCTGGTGTGACTAGCCACAAAATGCTGAGTCCAAGCCAAATGTGCCGCTCATGGTGCCTTCTCTATTACTACCAAAGTGGGGGTTCCTGCCAAAGGTCCATACTTTGGACCAGACTAATGATGTCATAGGGTACAGCCCGTGTGACTAGCTCCACTGTGTGAAAGACTTTTATCTAAAAATAAGAAAAGCAGTGCAGCGTGAGAAGGTGGAGTTTGAACAAAGGGAAAGTGCTGCATGGCACATGTAACAACCAAGAGTTAGTTACTCTGGCGCACACAGAAACACACTATAAAGGTAGTGATGAGGGAGTGGTTACCCCTTAAGCTGCAGAGAGTTTGTTGGTATACAACAGGAGGACTCGCTGAGGAGTCTCCTTGATCTATTGGGGTATTTATACTAATACAGAGTGTTTGTACCTATGTACTATACAGTTGATAAAAGCAGTGGCTGATGATGTCAGAGGGCGCAGCCCGTGTGACCAGCTCCACTGCATGAGAGAGTTTGTGTCTAAAAGAAGAATAATGGCAGCGCTGCACGAGAAGGTGGAGTTAGAACGAAAAAGGAAAGTGCCGCATGGCACGGAGTGTGAACTATAGTAAAAAGGTTAAAGCAGAGAATGAAAATTAAAGGAAAGGTCCAAAAATTGTGTTATCGTAACAGCGCAACTGTGTGAAAACTGAAAGAAAAAGTTGAAGTGGAGAAAGAAAGTTGAATGTCTGTAAATATGTGTATTGTAACACAAAGAGCCCAGGGAAAGGGTTGCTGTAACAATACACAATTTTTGGACCTTTAAATTTCATTCTCCACTTGAACTATCTTTTATAGTTTTCACACACTGTGCCATGGGTAACCACTCCCACTCACTTTACTCAAAGCTTGTCTAAGTTGTGCGCCAGAGTATACAAACTCTTGGTTGTAACAGTTGCCAGGCATGGAAAGTATTTAGGTCTAATCCAAGTGCTCAACATAGTGAAGAAGAAGGAGGCGGAGAAGAGGATGTGGACCCTTTACGAAATCAAGCTGGGGCAGGCAGGTCATATTGGTAAACTGTAAAGTGTTCTGAAGGCAACATTGACTGAGCTCAGTGAGGAGGAGCAAGCTGAATTAAAAGAGAAGCGTGAGGAGTGGTATATCAATGGGCCATCAGAGGATGTGAGACAAAAGTGAGGATAATGTCCTTGACTCACCCAAGACAAATAGTGACTAAAGATACCCAGAGCTGCTAAAATGAAGGGTAGGAAAATAGTGTAGGACTTGCAGATGCAAGTGAGCCGGGATCTGGGAATGTTGAGTTTTGTGCTCACTGCCCATAGAGATACAAATGGAACCACTTGCATGTCCTTGTAAGTAGTCTATGGACCTAAGGCTGAAATTGGGTGTGTGGTTACTGGAACTGATTGCTTTAATTGCAGCCATAAACAAAATGACAAAGCTGTGTTTAAGCATTTTAGCAAGGTACAACCCGACTGGTAAAACATAAAGATATGGGAGGCTTGGGGCAAGTATGCACAAGGCCATTCTTGTAGATGAGGATCTGTTTTCCCCGGCAACCTTTTCAGACCTACAGGCTATCCTCAGGTCTTTCCTGATGACATATTACCAGATTTCCACTGGAAACCCAAAGACTTCAGTACCTTGGACCAGCCTTGTGAAGTGCCTGGGTGACTATATTGACTTATCAAAGGGGTACATACCTTCAGGGTACAAGTTCCAGGAACCATCACATATGACAAAGGAGGAGACACGGGGTCTGTTGGACCATTGGTACAACCAGCAGAACAATATAAATGCCAAAGTTACCTTTAGGTTCAAATCTAGTCTGCACCCAGTAGCCAATAAAGGAAAGGATAAAGAGAAGGAAGCAATGAAGAGAGCCCTTCCCAGAGCGAGAATGGTTGTACCAAGAAGCAAATCCACCAACAAGGAACAAGAGGAGCTTGAGGGGCTTGATGAAATTCAAGTGATGATGAACACAGTGCTGACGTTCAAAACCAGCCCGGGCCCCCCAAACCAGCTGCAAGGTGACAAATTGTAGCCTTCCAGGAATCAACAACCAGGTCCGGGCCCTCCAAACCAATGCCCAACCCCGTCCTGGCTTCTTCTATCTTGGGGAAGCAATCTGTAGGTATAGAAGAAGTGGACAAGGAGAGTCCCCAGCATGCTTCTATTACACACAAGTCTCAGAGGAAGTTCATCACCACATTATATGCTGAGGAGGAATAATCCAGTTTGCTGATGAGGATGACAACCTGATGTGGTCATACATTGAGTTTTCCAGGGTGGGCGAAACTATCCTCCCATTCTGCAAGGACATGACCACTGCAATACAAAATAGCTTGGAATCCGTCTTCCCTGACAAGGCAGGGCCTCTACCCAGGATGGTAACAAGAGTGATGCAGAGTCCCACCAAATGTGGGCATGAGGAGATGGATGAGGAACCCAGGAATATTGCACACAGGACAAGGTCAGGTAATAGTCCAGTAAAGCAGCTTCAACAAGCCAAGGACACCAAGGTAGATCAGACGCTAAAGGTAAAGAAACCCAGGAGGCATTGAATAGTAGGTAAACCGACCTCTTGTACAGTAATGTAATAAATGTATATAATGGCCCTGGGTTTAAAATGTGTACCCGGGGATGTGAGCGTTATAGTCATCCCGGGTTACTATCACAACACAATGAGATCCGCACCCGTGTACAGTAATTCTGGACCTTCTGGGCATGCAACCAATCAGTATGATTTCCAAGTACACCTTGGTAGCTTAGTTGGTAAAGCACCAGACCATGAAAGCTGGAGTCCCAGGTTCAAGCCCTGGTCAATGCATGTTTTCTCATACTATAAATGAATGTCATAATTTGTCAGTTACATGATCTTACATCCTGGGCTGAATTTATCATAGATCACTTGGCTATAGACTGTTCCCAGGCAATGTTCCCATGTTGCCAAGCATCACTTACAGATAGCTTATCAATGTGTTGAAGTTAGACAGGTCCCAGGCCACATTGATGAGTCCCGGGGTAGAGTTCTTAGACTTGTTTTTTATCACACATAATCACACTAAAATTGTAATGTAGGTAGTTCAAATTTATATGGATCAAGTAATTAAATGTACACTGAGTGGTGAGTGAGGAGAAACTAAGTATACGGAAATAAAATCTAGTTGAAAAAAAAGAAAGAAAAAATGAAATATATATCACAAGTCCATTGAACTATGATTTCTTCTAATTATACTCATTCTCCTTTGCTTTCAACCTTGCTGCCTCATCCTCCAGCTGGCTAATCCTCTCATAGAGATCCCTAATGATCCCCTGCCTTTGTTCCATCCTTGCTACCCTTTCTTTCAAGGAAGAAGGCGGACTCCACTGCTGTGCCAGGGACAATCATTGTATGTGGCTGGGAACTGGGGATGTAAAGCTGAAGTCTATGAGGTCCCGGCCATCACTTTGAGGAGTGACAGCACTAGGGACCTCACCTCCCAGGGGTGTATGAGGCCTCCGTGGCTGAGGTAAATCCCCTTGTGGGGCCTCAAATGGCCAGTAAGGAGGAGGCCCAAGGGACAGATGAGGGGTTCCGGGAACATCCAAAGGCGCTTCTTCCCGCCTGAATGGGTTGGAAGAGTTGGAAGAAGAGATCAGGGTGAAAAGGTGGGGACATCAAGTCAAAGGGAGTGTTGGGGCAAGGGAGTGTGATGTTTGTGGGGATGTCAGCAGCCTCCTGGGGACAAATAGGAAGTGGGCTGGAGGATGGCAATGGCAGCCTTGCCACAGCACCCAAAACCTCCCTTGCAGGTGAGGGGATAGCCTCCCTCATCCTGGCAATCCACTTAGGGCTGGGACAGATTGCATTGGCACCCATTTCCCCAGGCTCTGTATAGGACACCTGGGGAGGCCTCCTTGATTCCTGGGACGTGGCTTGCACATGTGGAGGGGGAAAAGGGCGTGAAGGGTGTGCAGCAGATGGGGGAGTATGGTGAGCAGGAGCCAGGATTGCTGCTTGTGAAGGTTGTTAGAATATACTCTGACATACCAATACTCTATAGGATAATACCTCTGATTTGTAAGCCAGCCCAGTATGCAGCAGCTATTCTGTGTAAGATGTCCGTGGTTGCATGTCATGTTTAAGATCCTACATTGTATAACCTTGGCCATATAGCTCAATTGGTAGAGCAGCTGGCATGTATCCAGAAGGTTCCAGGTTCAATCCCTGGTCTGGTCATTATCCAATTTTATCAAAGGTGGGGGGACCCTGATTGTGAATTGGGTCCCAGTCATTCCATGAAGCTGGTAGACCAGCTTGGGTGCTCCCCGGGGCGGCCCAATGTTGATAGGATGGTCAGGAGCAGTGACCAGAGCCCTTGGCACTTCTGGCTCTGAGACCACTGGCTTCCGGGACTTGCTCCCCAGGCTTGCATTGTTGTCCCAGATGCACTTGCACTTCGCCCAGCTACACTTGTTGCAGGATGTCTCATGCTCTTCCTCTGCACATCCTCTACACCCCTGGTAATCTCCACCACCACCTTTCCCTTTCCCTTGCCGGTTGAAGGTGCTATGGGGTCTGGGCGCTGACCACTAGAAGTCCCGGGGAAAGGGCGGGTGTGCTGGGGGCAAGATGGCCTTGAGGGGGAGCGCTGGGACGGAGCTGTCCTCTTTGCCCTCTTTGAAGGCACTACTGTTACGTGAGCAAAGTTGTGCTTTTTTTTGCCAGTGGTGGGTGCCCGGGGGCTTTTAGAACATGCTGGTTTGATGGGCATGGTGGCAAAAAGACGAGGACAAGGGGGAACCACTGTGAAAAGAAACAGTTAGTAAGTAATTGAAAAAGGATGAAAAAATAAAAAAACTTACTTTGCAACCACCACCTATTGTCCAGAGCCTCCCTCCTCTCAGGAGTCTATCTCCTGGGCTCAAACCAGACTGATTCCTCCACCATCTTGTTTTCCTGGGTGATCAATGATGGATCCACTGCCCTTCCCTCACCCTCTGCCCCGCAAAACCGCGTGATGGCAGTCAAAAAAAGCCGGGGGACGTGGAAGTCATACCCGGTGTTGTTTCCCTCCTTTATCGTGCCTGTCCCACTCACTACTTCCTCCCTCAGCCTCTCCACAAACTGGTCCCTGTATTGAAAAAAAACCAGGGGCCAGTACATAACAGCCTTCTTAACGCGCTTGTTGGCTTTGTAGATCTTGTCTTGGGTGGAAAAAGACATTGCAATGGTGTCTTTGGTTGGGGAGGGGTTGAAAGTCTGGTGTAGGGCATTATGTCTGAGTGACTGAGATGTTAAATGGTTCAGACATGCTATACATGGATTTAATGCCACAAATTGTGCCCATGGGAGTTTTGAGAAAAATACACGTGATGAAAGTTGGACTTGTATTTTTTACATTCAAACACCAGAAATGTTGCAAATGCCAACTTGCCAGTGCAAATTCAGTGTCCAGGAACTATCCCCAGGTATGTCCCATCATCTCAAATATTACCCTACCACCATCTTGAAATACTTTTCTTCAGATTTACCCATGTTACCCACCATGTTACCCGCTATGTATGACCCAATAACCATGAATTGTAAGTTCATACATTTACTTGTACTTAAAAAACATCAGCAATCCAAGTGAGCCAACTGGCTTATCAGACAATTTGCCATTGGGGGGCTCCAACTCATTTGAATGCTCCCCAGGGCTTTCCTTTGCTCCCTCCCTGGGGCTCTCCTCAGATCACTCCCTGGCACCCACTTTTACAAACAATATCTTTGATATTGGGGTGCCATGCAAGAGACCTAATTGTAATAACCCTGGGAGCACAAAAGTAGAGATACCTGGGCCCTCAGGCTTTAACATAGGGGTCCCTGGTGTACAAAGGACATCATCAAAAGCTGGAAATTTTAGATACCAACCACTTAAAATTAAAAGATTGGCAGTCTAGAAACTGACTGAAAAGTGAATTGGTCCTTACCAGATTAAGGAAGTCAAACCCAATGTGGTGGAGCTGGATTTTCCAAAATGAATGAGGGTAGTACCCATGGTCAATATTAGCCATGTGAACCCCTACAAAGGGCCTCTGCCAGGATAGCGCATAGACTGGCCCAGACCGGTTGCAGTCACCCAGGAAGTGTAAGGACCGTTTTATTATTTCCTTATCTTTGCTATGTCTTGGTTCTCGAACACTTTTCCCATTACGCCTCTGGCTCTAGGGCTAGAGGTATTGTTTGCAGTTTTACTTCTCATAGCCCTCACAGGCTTTCTTAACCATCGCTACCATTGTATATCACAGATCAGAGACTGGGCATCGCTCCCAGCCAGCCAGCAAACTGGGTAGGGACTGGTAGTAGGCATCTCGCCAACCAGCTCCAAGCCCCAGTAAAGCCTGGTAATACTAATAACGCCTTATCTAGGATCGTACCTCATCATGAGGATACGGTTCCTGACCACGCGTGACAATCTTCTATTATTAGTACAAGTCTCTCACCTGCTGATTAATCAAGTCAGAAGTCGTACGATAGTTACTCTCCCTTTTTCTTATTGGTTGATTAATTCCTCAGACCACTTTTCGTATATTCTCTTTTCGGTCTGAGGAACGGACAGTTCCCTATATAAAGCCGTACCTATTCATGTATGGCTCCTTAGCTTTCTATTACTGAATTTACCCGCTTTACTCCTCAACAAGAACCTTTGAAGCTTACCTCTCAAAGTCCTCTACTCGCTATATTTACTAGCGTCTGTCGACCTCAAGCTCATTGAACCCTTACTCCCTGCAAGTGCAGAAGGAGATAGGTTTAGTTTTTGTTATAGTTCATCGTTGCCTCACAGGAAGGTGAAGAAGAATTTGATGTCGAACAGGTGGTGGATGCACGCTTGAAGCGTGGAAAATTATAGTTCCTATTCCTATGGAAGGGCTATGGAGACAAGGACAGAACGTGGGAACCAGAAGCACATCTGGACAATTCCCATGACGCTGTTTGAGGATTTTATTCTAAGAATCCCTCAGCTTCTGGGACACATAGTATAGTAATAACCTTTGGTCTTAGACGTGGCATTATTACCTGATAATATTACTATATAGATGGGGCCAGCGGAGTCTGGCGGAGTGTGCCAGCCGGGCCATGTTAAATGTGATTTTATTGTGCCCATCTTTGACAACCAGGCTGGGTAAGAGGCTGCCCATCCAAGATGACCCGGCTGGGTCAGGACATTACAGGGTGCTTGTCTTAAATGATCCAGCTGGGTGAGAGGGTGCTCATTGAAGATGACCTAGCTGGGTGAGAGGACACCCAACTTAGACAACCTGGCTGGGTCACAGGATGATGAGTGGCAAGGAGTGCAATAGATTGTTGAGATGCAGTGTAGCCTTGCCTCCACTCTTGATAGATATCTGAGCTATTATTAAATCTTGACAATTTTGCCCTCTAAGGTCCTGATGGATTTGAGGCATCCACGAGACATCTGTAGGTATACATTTACACATAGCAATACAATTATCTACTTGAATTTTGGTATACCCAGGTCAAAGTCATTTGTCTTTGTGCTCTCTTTTACTTTCTCTGTCACAGATGGAGCACCAACACTGAAAACAAGCCCTGTTTTTCCACTATTATCCTGGTTTGAATGTTGTAATGTGGAGCATGGCTGATATATTTGAGTTTATTACATATTTGCCTATAGTTAGGATTATTTTTATCATTAGATATGACATTGATAATAAATGTGGTATTAAATTTTGGGTTAGTATATTATAACATAGGATATTTTTAAATACATTAATCAAGTTGCTAGTTGGCATCAATTAAGTGTGTTTATTATTAGCTTTGATAAAACATACTAATTATGTATGAGAGTTTTTACAGGCCTTTAATATTTACAAACTAACAGAACCAATATCTTTAAGTTTTTTACGAGGATCTTCAAGTCCAGCCGCTTCAAGTTATTATTTGTAAGCCTCAGATTTTCTTTCTTTTTTTTCTTTAGTGTGAAACTATTTGGCCATACACTGATATTTCTTGCAGATTCGAAACTTTAGATCTTTTGGCAGTAAAATATAAAATATTTCACTGGCAGTCGGGATGTTTGTAGGTGTGTTGTTTATTACTCATAATTGAATTTTGACTAAATTTTTTTATTTGGGTTTGTATAAGGAGTAAGCATTTTTTGGATCATTGAAGTGATTTCAGTGTAGCAGAATCCTTAGGTCACATGTCAGATTTAATTGTGGAAGTGAATGTAGGTCAGGATTTTGTTTCTAGATTGTTAACACTAATTTTTCTGGAAAATGCCTATGGATGTTATATTCTCCTCAGATGATAGGGCTGAGGTCCTTCCTTCATGATGATAGTAGGGAATTGTAGAGTAGACTCAACTTGTCCTATTCTACTGTTATACAGGGGTTTATATACTGAATAGGTAGTAAATCCAAGCTCAGCTCCAAGCTGGCTTTGTAAGAGCCAATAGTGTAAAGACCTCCAGGGTCAAGGGCGAGAGGTTTGTAGTCCAAAAGGAGTATTCTTTGGGGAAATAACAAGAATAGATCAAGAACTTGTGACCATAATATAGCTATAAGGAGTATCCTTGGAAGAACTCAGATCACAAGGTATAGGGCTAAGGCTGTGTGTCCAAGAAAGGAAGAGGAAGGATAAGATAAGGAGAAATGTGTACAAAAAGATAGAGGAATAAGATGTGAAAGTGTATGTATGGGAATACAAAGATGGTGGTGAGTGATAACCACTAGATAAAGGAATATAGTCCGATAAGTAAAGGAAAAGGCAAAGGATAAAGTGAGAGTAAATTTGAATCGTAACATACAGCATTTTCAGCTTTTCCAATTCCAATAAGACAAATAGTGTGTGTCAGTAGGAGTAATGATGGATGGACAACCACCAGAGGATTTGGCCAAGTTGAGGCAATGTTGGGCAGATATTCTATGAATAGTAGAGTGGCCAAAACCAGTAGTAGCAAAGATTTGATGAGTAGAATGGCCAGATTCCAAGAAAGCTATGATGTGGTTGATTTGATTAATAGAGAGAGATTTTACAATGATGGATGCAGAATAAGTGATATTATTTGATTTGCTTATACTATGTTGAACTTTTTATATGACACATGATCAAATGCTGACATAATACTTGATTCTTATGTTATGTGAGATTAGCAACAAAGCTGTCCCAATAAGTATAGTGGATTAATGTTGAGTTATGACCGGTATAACAAGAATTACCTAAGTAATGTATATATCATTAGAAAGCTCTTGATCAGGGCTGTCTAATAATACATGGGCTTAGGGTCTAGCATCAATGATGCATGAGTTATTCACTCAACAATCAAAACATTGCTAACATTGGGACAGTTTTATTGCTCAGTGTATCTGGAGTACCATGTGGGGGTGAGGTACAGGGCTAACAGCAGAGTACAAGGAGTGTAGATTCAAGAGTTCAGACTTGAGGGTCTCTGACCTTTTGGAGGTCCGGAAATCATAGCCTGTGGCATGGATATGACAACCCTCTTCAGAGAGGGTGGAGAAAGAGCAAGATGATGAAATGCTTTGGAGTACTGGACAAGTTGCACTTGGAGTGATAGCCAAAGTTGAGGCTCTGTGCCTGGATTTGTGATAAGGTTTTGCTATCTTCGTCCGATTGATATTCAAATCTATGTCCTGGTAGGATGAGTGTAACAACCAAGAGTTATTTACTCTGGCGCACACAAGAACACACTATAGAGAAGATGATGAGGGAGTGGTTACCCCTTGAGCTGCAGAGAGTTTGTTGGTATACAACAGGAGGACTCGCTGAGGAGTCTCCTGGATCTATTCGGGTATATATACTACTACAGGGTTGTTTGTACATGTGTACTATACAGTTGATAGAGACAGTGGCTGATGATGTCATGGGGCCTAGCCCGCATGGCCAGCTCTACTGTGTGAGAGAGTTGTGTCTAAAATAAGAAGAAAGGCAACGTGGCACGAGAAGGGGGAGTTTGGAAAAAGGGGAAGTGCCGCGTGGCACCATGTGTGAAAGCTAAAGTACAAGGTTAGAGTGGAGAATAAAAATAAAGGAAAGGTCCGAAAATTGTGTTATCGTAACAATGAGTTGAGTGGATATTTCAGATTGTTTGAATTTGTCTTGAGTAAGTAAAATAATCAATCATGTTGATGGAAGTCAAGCAATTAAGTCCTTCTTGAGTATCTAGTTGATTTGTGCAGGAAACCTACAGGTTTTGTGTAGGCCTCCACAACCGAACATCCAGGCAAAATCTGCTTGGAATGTGCTGGAAATGACCGGGTTTTTGGGGACATTTTCATGATTCATAATCTCAGCTTTTTTGCAGTGAGTAGGTTCTCGGTGCAAACCGAGTCTGACTAACGCTTGACCAAAACCCGACTATGACTGACTTTGACTGTGATATGACTAACAATTCAAACTCTTTACTAAAGGTAGACTTTGCACAACTTCACTCGATTGTTACCTGACTTTCACATGACTTTAGCCGACTTTTTGTTTGTACTGAGGGTAATGATTTATCTTTTTTTTTGGGGCAATGAGCGGTGTGTTATATTGCCCAATCTATGTTCATACTCCAACATAAAATAATCGTTATCTGAACCCCATCCTCCTTGCATACTCCTTCTCTTCGTCTAGGGTCAACTTATCTGTGCCAAACCAATTAGCGGAGCTGGTCCTAGCCCTGAATCGGCTTTGTTTTGTTCGAAACATTTCCTCCATCCTCAAGGGTCGAATAACGCCAAAAACATCATCCGGGTTAAGTCTGCTTTGAACCTGCAGAGCTTCATTAAGCTCTGGAGTGTGAGCCCATTCAGGAAGATCAAATGAGCGTGGACGATCCTCATCATCCGAGTCCGAATATTCGCTGTTAATATCTGGAAGTTCGATATTTTCACTTGAGACGACAGGTTTGGGAGACTCCTTCGTTGCTTGCATCTGAGAGCTTTCGCCGGTGACTACTGGAGCCAGCTTCGTAAGGAAGCCGCACTGTGCAACACCAGTTGCTCGGCCGAATTTTGGGTGGGGCTCGGCCCTTGTCGATACCACTACACCTAATTCCGAAGACGATGGATCATATTTGGGTGCAGGCTTTTTGACCTGTTTCTTTGCGATATCTGCATCGGCCTTTCGCTTTTTGATGGCACCTTGATCTGTTTTCTTGGTGACTGTGTTCTTGAGTAGTTTTCCATCGCTCTGCTCATCCTTTCCCCTTTTCCGTTTTTCGCTGTCTTCCTTCATTTTCTTTTCTTGTTCTAACGCATGTGCCCTGTCGTCCAAAATCTTCCTTTGTTGAGCTTGTGTACGCCTGTTCTCCATTTCCTTCAAACGCACCATCTTCTTGTCTTGCTCCTCTTGTTGCTGTGATTACAGTTTATTCTCAGCATACTATAAACCGCTTGAGAATATCAAAAAGTAACTTACCCTTTTAGCAGCCACTGCTGCAAGTTGCAAACTCTTTAGTTCATGCCTGCCGTTCCTACTCCCACCCAAAGTATTATCGAATACCTTAGATGTTTGGTTGGAATGTTGAGCCCTAGATTGATTACTTATTACTGACTCGAGATCCTAAGGGAAAGTGTCAGCGAGAGCGGAAAGAATTTGTGATGGGTTTTTGACTTGTACCTCAATGCGATCCAGAGCGATAGTGCCTCTTGTAGCGCAGTCTGGTTTCAGAAAGTCAGGGGTAGCCAAGCCTCTTTCACCTGCGATATCCGAGTAGTAAGACTGGTTCCCTCCGGAACCATGGACATTAAACGGATGTGTCAAACTAGTGGGGCTACGTTCATCCAGAGCTTTCCCTTCCCCAGTAGCGCATACATCATCTTTGATAATTCCTGGGTCTCCTGGGGGCGGTTCCGTAGGTAATGTACTCCAAGCCATACTATTGTCTTTTCTGTCGAAGTTGAATGGCGTCCAAACTTCTTGATTTCTAGCTAATTGGTCTTCCACAGGCAAGCAATCACCGCCCAAACCATTGTTTCTTTTATCGAACGACAGGCGATTCTGCGTAAGAGACGTATCTTGCTTTTGCCATCTGGGCGTTATCGTTTCATGACGAGCGTCGAACAAGGTACAATGGGGCTGCACCGGTAGCGTGGTGTCATAGATTTCTGATTCTGCCTGAAGTGTATGTGGCGGACTAGATGTACGGTCTGGCACCCCATGCAGTAGCTGTCCCGGCAATGAGTAAGCTGCTGTAATAGGCAAGCAGAAGCGATCATCCACCATGGGGAGCAAGACCTGCTCAGACGCTTCAGAAGTCGAGACAGCTGATGCAAGAGGTTGATGCAATGCTGTATCGTGTTCCACGGCTGTTCGTCGCGTACGAGAGTATAGCCACGTGCCCTCAGAGCCGAGCCCACCTTCCGCCGTATATTGCTTGCCTCTGCTTGGAGTTTTGTGAAGAAGTAGCAGTTCCTTCTTTTGCTTAGAAGAGTCGTCCTCTTTCACTTCCGCTGCCTGACCGCGAATTGAATAGTAAGAGTAACTATGCTGAGAACCATGCGGTAAAGATGTGGATTGTTCACTGCGCTTGGCAGGTAGTAGTATTGTGGTGGAGCTATGGGGCTGAAAGGATTTATGTTGGGTTGAATTAAAGGATGTGATTGTCATATCCTCATGTAGTTTATTCCTTTCAGCCACACGAGTCTCGGCTGCTGCTCGAGCTTCCGCTAATGTGACCGCGGTGGCACCTACGGTATGGAGTGAACCCTCGCCAATATGCACGCAATTCACCTCGCCATCGAGGTTAGAAGCAACGGTATCGAAGGAATGCGCCTTGATTGCTTTTAGCCTGTGTTCGCTTCCATCTCGGTCTTGATCAACATTATCTAACGCGGGTATATCAAATGCCTCTCCATTCGTGAGCTTGGGCCCGACGTTCACGCCTGTCTGGGTCGTCGTGCCATTGGCTCCATATGAATCATTCTCGAGTGGGATTTGCTTCGTGACAATGGTCTCCATTGCCTTAACTTCTCTCGCCTTCATAAGCCAAGATGTACGCTTTCCCAAAGCTGGAACAGTAATGCCAAGCGATAATTCCGCTAGACCCGTAGACGTATCGCGGAGACCTCGTACTGATTTACGTAATGGGGATGGCGCAGGTAGGGAAGGGAAGGGAAATACACTTTGAGGCATCAATGGTTGAGACGTGCTGGTGGCAGAAATGCTCGACATACCCATGAGCGATGGAGCTGAGAGAGGAGAAGGTGATGCCAGAACCGGAAGGGGGAGCCTCGAAAGTCCGCAGACACAATCAGAAGATGGATTTAACCGAGCACGAGCCACTTCAGGAGACGAAATCGTAGATGAAGGTCTACCAGGAGCGTGGACTACACCATACGTGGGCGATAGGCTTTGTAGCACCTGTGATTCGTGTGACCTGCTGACCTTTAAGTCAACTAAGGGACTGGCGTTGGGACTTAGAGGCTGCAGAGAGGTAGTATATTCAGCAGGTTCTGCCCCTTCCTGGATGACAGACAGCTTCGTAGTTAGTGCTGAGGTCGGGAGACTAAGTGTGTGGTGGCCCCGAGTGTGCCCTAGATCTTGCATAGAGTTTGCGGCAACACCGGACGATGCTTGGGACTGTAAGGAGTAGCTGTCCAATGCGTTTTCACTAGTTTCTCTAGTATAGGGTATGTTCTGATGTTCAGGCTGCTTAGCCAAATTCGACAATTGGTGGGACAACAGCTCCTTCGGATGATTTTGCGAAACAAAGCTATGAAGGCCCACTGTCTTGTCCTTCATAAGGTGTACCTGGCTTAAACTACGAGAGGGATATATGTTCTCGTTCGTTATGTCATCATCCTAGAGGAAGCCATAATTGTTGATCTTAACATTAACTGTCGGATGTAGAGAGCGAGGGATTCTTACATTGACTCGAATATTCAAGACAGCTTTCATCTTCCTACGCTTATCAATTTTCCGACCAGGAGTTTTTACAAAGTCGATCATAGAGCTATGATTATGATGATACTGTATGTGAGTACTGCAGATAAAAATGAGAGACTATCCGCTCACTCATGTGATACCGCTACCAGGATGCTTCTGAAATAGTCGTCCAGATAGTTGAATCCTTGATCTTGTATCTGATCTTTGAAAGCCTGACGACAAGAGGCTTCAATCATTGAAGCCCGAATGGTAGATGTCCACAATATCCCATCAGGAGAGCTGGTAGTCATTCCTTTGATACAAGCGTGGTTTTAGATGAATGAATGAAGGGTTTGGGGGTGCGGAACCAGTGCAGGGGAGCCACAACTCATGAGACTGGAAGCAAGTCACGTGGTTGTGTTTGAAAATCATGAAAAATTGGTCATAGTACTTCCCACTGAAAAAAACTTAATTGGATCAAAATGCTATTCAAAACTACACAAAAAATCACCCTCTGCCTCTGGGCAATCCTGTTGGCACTACTCAGAAGGTGCTAGGTACTATTTTGAAATTTGGACTGATCATAAAAATCTGGAGTATTTTATGGGACCTAAATCAAAGACAAGCCTGCTACGTGGTATATCATTCTAGCTTCAATTATAAATTAATTCATAAGGCAGATGCTTTATTTAGAAGAGAAGATCATGCCAACAGTATCAAAGATGACAACAAAGGTGTCACCCTGTTAGATCAATCCAGTGTAGCTGTTACAATACACAATTTTCGGACCTTTAAATTTCATTCTCCATTTAACCTTCTTTTGTAGTTTTCACACACTGTGCCATGCGGTACTTTCCATTTTGTTCAAACTCCACCTTCTCGCGCTGCACTGTTTTTCTTTATTCTTAGCTACAAGTCTTTCACACAGTGGAGCTGGTCACACGGGCTGCACCTTATGACATCATCAGCCACTTCCTTCATCAACTGTATAGTACACATGTACAAATAGTCTGTAGTAGTACATATGTATAAATGCCCCAATAGATCAAGGAGACTCCTCAGCAAGTCCTCCTGTTGTTTACCCACAACAAACTTGGTCCTATCTTAAAGGGTAACCACTCCCACTCACTTCGCTCAAAGCTTGTCCGAGTTGTGCACCAGAGTATACAAACTCTTGGTTGTAACAGTCAATGTTCTAATCAAGCAGGATCACAATCTTCTAGAAAATCTTCAGGAAAGATATCTCATCAGAAGAAAAGGCATACCTTGATGGCAATGAACACTATTTATGGGAAGACAGGATGTGCCTGAATCTGCATAGATCAAGGCAATATATAGACATCATGACACACCAGTGGTTGGGAACCCTGGGTGGCAACAAAAAATGGAGTTGATCTCCAGAAACTATATATGGCCTGGTATGGTCAAAGACATATAAGAATACATAAAGCGTTGTCTTCACTGTGTCATGGCAAAGAATTCTTACCAGCCAGTAAACTTATAAACTTATACCTAATCCAATTCCAGTAGGACCCTGGCAGGATATATCAGTTGATTTCATGATAGATCTGCCCAAGTCAATTCAGTAATGGTGGTTGTGGTTTGCTTTTCCAAGGAAGTTGTGTTTGTCATGATACACAAATTCCAGGCCTTTCAATTTCATCCTCCTATTTGACTTTCTTTCTCTTTTGTACACTTGTGTCATGTGACACTTTCTTTTTATCTCACTTTCTCACACTGCACAGCTTCCTTGTATTTTTGGTTACAACCCTCTTATGTGGTGGAGCTGGTCACAAGGGCTACACCTGTTACAACAGCATTTACTTGTATTTTATTTTTCTTTCTCTTTTATTTTTCTGACTTTTTCTTTTGAAGGTCATATGACTGATTATTGATCACGTGACTGGTGTCTAGACTCAATATGTGACTTGTCACATGCTATAACATCATAGATTCACTTACTCAGTGGTGGCATCATATAGAATACAATGGAAAACCACAGAATATTTACTATATGTTATGATACACAATTTTTGGACTTACAACCTTCTTTCTCAAAGTCCTCACGCACTTGGGCCACACGGCATTTTCCCTTTGTTCAGACATTCACTTTCTCACGCTGTTGATGATGAGAACTGTTGTTAGAAAACCATACACAAAAACAAACTAATAAACAAACCTCCCAGATTCCATGGAATTTGTGTATGGGCTTTACCTCCTAGAACAGTGGGTGGTCTGGTTGTTTGTGGGGTGGTACATATAATGATCCTTCAAAGTGAAACCCAGAGATGTGTGGGTGTGGATTTTGGAGAAGGAGGGATAGTTGGAAGTTGGAAGATAAGGGTTTTGACTGAATATAGATGAATATGGACGAGCACTACCTTTCTAATTGTAGCACAAGGTAGGTTTGAGAATGACAAGATGATAAGGTTCCCAGTGATAGCAGGCTCCTGACGCACAGACTGTAGTGCTCAGAAGGACTCTAATCAAAAGGGATGGCAGTGAATTCTGTAGTGGTGAGTGACAATGACAGCAGTTAACAGTAGAAGCAGTGGGAAGTGTTGTGACCACACTAGATCACAAGTAGCAGTGAGTAGTGAATTTGAGATTAGAGAAGAAGTCTGGATTGGATTTCTTGTTGTTTCTACAAGGTAGAATACAGGGGTTTATATAGTAAAAGAAAGGAAGGCTATGCACAGTATAGTTGTGCAAAAAGAATGAGAAAGAATGTGAAGGAAGGAATATACACTGACAAATCCTGTATAGGTAGTACAAGATAAGATCGTCAAAATAAGGAAAAGAAAGGAATAGAACAATGAATGCTGTGTATGTAATGTCACAGGTTTGTACAGCCATAAAATAAATTCCAATAGCAGAAATAGAGCAAGAAAATCATGACGTCATGGGAAGATGCAGTAAAAAAAAACAAGGCAAAAACAATATCAGTATCAACACAGTTCCCTTGTTGTCCGTCAGGCATTCTAAAAAAATATGTGTTTATAAAAATAATCCAAAAATCAAGAATAATTACACTGCAAATGAATGTTCTGCTGAAAAAAAAAAAACTGGAGCCACCTGTCCACCACCTAGCCCAAATCTGAAGGTTCCATGGCCTTACCAATGGTCTGGTTGTATTGGACCACCTGGTCAAACAAGGGAGGGAGAGGAGTAGTTCCAATCTGGAACAGATGTGTCCCAGGCAGTGTGTGGTAAGTGTAGCTGTAGCGAAGGCGATGGATGAAAGATAAATATACACAAGCAAATGGGATGGCAATGTACATGGGCAACAACACAAGAGGATGGATTTTTTCCAACTCAAAAACTACCCACCCACGTTCCAGTCAGGCAAGACGAGCAACCAATAATTTGATAGTATATGATGGAAGATCAATGTCATGAAGATAAACCAGCTGCCCAATGTGGACCAGCCGCTGGGGCTTTGCTGAAATTA